TTATCATTAAAATATATATAACATTAATTAAAATAAGTATTATAATAAATTTACATAAATTATTATTAAAAAAAATAATATATATATATATAGTATAAAACACTCTCAAAGAAATACGTGACAAATTCTTCTTTCCTTCTGTTGCTTACTTTTCTCCCTCTCTCTTTTTTTTTTTAAAGCTAGCCATAGTCCCTCTACTTTCAAATGTTGTTTATTGTCCTCCCCACACTTACAAATCGTTCAAAGTCCTGTCTCTACTCTTTCAAACAAAACTATTGTTCTCCCTCTATTATAATTTTTTAGGTTAAAGCCAGCTATCATCCCTCTACTTTGTGAAAAAGTTCAATCTAATCCTTCTAGTATAGAATCGCCTCATGTCCTCAATCTACTATTGAAAAGCTCAACGTGTCCTCCCTCTATTAGTCAAAATGTGGTCCATGTCGTCCTTCCGTCCATAGGGTCTCTAACACCGTTTAATTTTGACCGTTAAGTGGCAACAGTCACACGTTTCTCTTATTTTTTAATATTTTTTTAAAGATTCTACCTACATGGGATCCACGAGTAAAGGTGCAAATAAGGATTCTAATTTTACACTTTTTTCTATTTAAGGATGTTAACTTTATTAGTTTTTAAATAAGGATGTCAACTTTTAATTTTTTTTAAATAAAGATGTCAATTTTTCATTTTTTTCTAAATAAAGATATTAACTTTGTCAGTTTCTAAATAGGATGTCAACTTTCAACATTTTCTATTTAAGGATGTCAATTTTCAACTTTTTCTATTTAAGAATTAATTGAATAGTGATGTTGACGTGGCTAACATATTTTTTAGGCTAAATATTTGAATTGATCCCTCAACTTTTATTTTTGAACCAATTCATCCTTAAACTTTAGAAAGTACCAAAAACGTCATTCAACTTCAATTTTCAATTTCGTCTTTCCGTCAGTTAAATGTTGATGTAGCTAATTTTTTCACTAAGTGGTTGACTATTTTACATTTTCAATATTAGGTGGAAAATCCATCATGTAAAAGATGATTATGTGGATTTTTTTAATTTTAAATAATTTACAAACTACT